GTACAGGTTCTTGAAGTAGGTATTGATGATCCTCTGGATTTCTGCTGGGTCTGTTGTGACATCACCTTTTTTGTTCTTAATTGCATGGATTTGAGCCTTTTCTTTCCTTTTTTTGATAAGGTTGGCTAAAGGTTTATAGATTTTATTTATTTTTTCAAAAAACCAACTCTTTGATCCATTAATTTTTTGTATTATTCTCTTAGTCTCCATTGCATTGATTTCTGCTCTGATCTTTATAATTTCCTTTCTTGTACGAGACTAAGCACAATTTTTTGAGGTTCATCCATGCTGCAGCATGTATAAGACTTTCCTTTATAAAGCTCACATATAATAACTATATTGCTATCCATTCTATTGAGGGACACTTGGGTTACTTCTACTTTTGAGTTTTTGTGAATAATGCTGCTATACAAACGTGTTTGAGTTTCTGCTTTCATTGCATTTTTTTTTTACCTGCGGATTGAGCCCAGGGCCTTCACACTGAGCTGCATCCAAGCCCTTTCTTTTTGGGGGGGGGGGTTACCGGGGATTGAACTCAGGTCCTTGCACTTGTACAGCAGGCGGTGAAACCACTGAGCTAAATCCCCAGCCCACCCTTTCATTTTTTATTTTGAGACATGGTCTCACTAAATCACTAAGTTTCCCAGACAGGGCTTGAACTTGCAACCCTCCTGCCTCAGCCTCCCAGAGTGATGGGATTGCAGGCCTTTGCCACCATGCCCAGCTTCAATTCTTTTTGGTATATACTCAAAATAGAGCTGCTGAATCATGATAATTCTATTTTGAATTTTTCATGAGCCACCATACTACTTTCCACAGTGGCTACACCACTTTCAATTCCCTCTAAGCCTACACAGGCTTCCAATTTCTTGAAATCTTCATCAACATTTTGTGCATGTCTGATTTTTATTTTCAGTGCTGGGGATTTACTCCAGAATCTCACATATGCTATGCAAGCACTTGACTACAGAGCTGCGTCTCCAGCCCAGCCAGAAGGGTTTTAAAGGACAATTTCTCTTCTCAGTCTTGCCATGAATTTCTGAGAGCCCTTTGTCTGAGATTATTGTGTGTACCTACTTGGAGAGGGAAACAGAATATTTCTTATCCATCTTCTCTATGTGACAGGAAGACTTCAACTGGACAAAACTAAACTTCAACAGATGAGTTTATTATCTCACACACTAAGTAAATACTAATTATTTTACCACTGAGAACTGAGTCCTCTATTCATCAGATCATCATGATCTAGACAATATGTTCAAAAATTTTATTTTGATGTTTTGCACTTATATTGTAAAACATTTTGGTTCTGTTTTAATTTTAAATGGTATATCCTTCTCAGTTGAATTTATAACTAGTGAAACCCCAGATGAAGTCTATTAACCATAGTGAACGTTCATCATAAATTTTCCAGAATAGTTTTTTGTTTTGCAGTACTGAGGATTTAACCCAGGGCCTTCCGACTAACCTATATCTCAGGCCTTCTTTATTTTTATATTTTAAAACTTTTTTTTTTCAGTACCAGGGATCAAACTCAAGACCTTGTGCTTGTGAGGCAGGCATGATGCCACTGCGCTAAAATCCCCAGCCCAATTTTAAAACTGTTTTGTTTTTTGAGACAGGGTCTCGCTATGTAGCTCAGGTTGGCCTTTAACCTGTGGCAATCCTCCTGCCTCAGCCGGTCAAGTGCTGGAACTACAGGCTTGCGCCACTACATCAGCTTTAAAACTTTTTTTTTTTTTTAACAAACAAGGAAGACTTTATTCAGGGTGTTTCTGTGGGAGACAGAGGATGAACTTTGACAGGAGTGCTTCACGGCAGTCTAAGCGTATGTGTGTGAGAGAAAGGAAGGTGACCAGAAAGAGCCTGGCTAAGCTTGCTGGTGCAGGAGGAGCCCATTGGATATCGAGATGGGGTCCACCCACCACCAGGTGGCCTTAATGGGACTCTTGCTAAAGCTGAGCTCAGCCAACCAAGGTCACAGCCTCATGGAGAAGAGTCTCAGAGGAACCTGACCTTCTGATCCAAGGAGTCCTTGTCACATTGCTAAGGATGTGAGTGCATCTCTGAGACGTGGTATTTTCCAGCCTATTGTTGCATAAGCATCAAGAGTGCTCCCTGCCGCTCTCAGATGTCAAAGGGTGATTCCACAATCACAGCCATAGTGGGATCTCACAGGATTAGAAGACCAATCAGCAAGGGCCACACTGAATCAGGAGGGCCCTGTAACAGTTAGGGTTCACTTTTTTAAAAATTTTGAGACAGGGTCTCCCTAAATTGCCAAGTTGCTGAATTGCCCAGACTAGGCTTAAACTTGTAATCTTCCTGCCTTAGCCTTCCAGAGTGCTTGGTATTACAGGCTTGCGCCACCACACTCACCCTGTAGTCTTAACTTCAAACATTTTATTATATACATTATAAATATGCTCTTACATGTCATACTGTGTATGATTCAAACACCTTAGGCTTAATATACTAATGTCATCTTGGTATGCCTCAAGTTTTGGCCCATGCCAGTATCTTGTTTATTTCTCAGGGACTTGGAGGTTTATAGAATTCCAGAATTAGGCACCTGCTACCCAGGAGGCTAAGACAGGAAGATCCCTTGAATCTAGGATCCAAAGGCAGCCTGGGGAATAGCCAGAATCCAATCTTAAAATACAAAGAATTACAGAATTAATATGAGAGAAATGGCACACAAGTAACATGTGGCTGATGTCTTTGTCCCATATAGTGTTTAAGTTTTTAAATTTACTTATTAACACCTGAAATTCAGAAATTTTCACACAAAAAAAGATTTCTGGCACCAGCTAAAAGAAATTTTAGATGTCTTAACAACACTGGGATCACATTCCTCATGTCAGTTACTATTTAGGGTTAGGTAAATTGTTTTAGTTTTAAATACAACAAATGCTGCTGTCAAATGCCATCCAATGGAAAGGCAGGCTCATAAAAACATTACAGTGTGTTTTCATCCACCCTATTCAGTGGATCTGACAACTTTTCGACTTCAGGTTCTTCCTCAAAGTTAAAATGACCATGAAAGGTAAAGGTGTTGAATTAATTCAGGACGTTCAGGCATCTGTGACAGCTCAACTAAAGACATTCATGAAAGAGGACATCCAGACATGCTTCAGAAAGTGGCAAGAACAATGGGATACGTGTGTACGAAGTATGTGGGAGCATTCTGAGGAGGATTAATAGCAGTATGTCTTTTACTGTAATAAGTTTTTTAATTTAAATGTTCACTGTATTTTCTTTTTTTCAGTACTGGGGATCAAACTTGGGACCTTGCACTTGTGAGGCAGGCGGCAGAACCACTGGGCTAAATCCCCGGCCCAGTTCACTGTATTTTCAATCACACCACATATGTAGTTTTCTTATTGTGGAGAAAAAATTTAAATTTTCTTTGCTTTTATTCAACTCATTGTATTTTCAGTTTTCTTACCTGAACCTCAATTCTCACTTGAGTTCGTGACCCAGTTCTAGGAGTATTAGAAGGTACAGTAACTACAGTAGTTGGTGTAATCAGTCTGGTTCGATTTAAATGCACACTCCACAACTTAGCCTCTCTGTACCTCAACTGCCTCCTCTGTAAAACTGCAAGAATAACAGTATCTAAATAGCTCACAAGATTTGAGTTAGTAAAAGTAAAATGCTTAATAGTGCCCATCCAGGGGCCCATGGACCCTGTCTATCTTATTTACTACTGCATCTTGTGTTCTGGAACAAAGGAGGGAGCAGCAAACATTTAATAAATGAATTGACAAATGAATGTCAAATAAATGAATTGACAAAAAATCTGCCTACTACGTGGTATTTAAAGCAATGTTTGAGGGTTTTTTTCTCTCGGTACTGGGGATCAAACTCAGGACCATGCACTTGCGAGGTAGGTGCAGCACCACTGAGCTAAATTCCTGGCCCTGTTAAATTTTTTTGTTTTGTTTTGTTTTATGAGGCAGGGTCTTGATTTGTAGTTCAGACTGGCCATTTTGTAACCCAGCCTGGTTGGAAACTGCAATAATCCTCCTGCCTTGGCCTCCCAACTGCTGGGATTATAGAAGTGCACCACCACACCTGGCTATTTCAATTATTCTGAATATAACATTGAATGCCAGGTGTGGTGGTGCATCACTGTAATCCCAGCACTCTGAGAGGCTGAGACAGGATGATTGCAAATTCGAGTCCCACCGAGGCAATTTTCGAAACCCTGTCTCAAAAAAAGAAAAAGGGGCTGGGGATGTAGTTCTGCGGTAAAATACCCCAGGGTTTGCTCCCCACTATAAAAAAAAAAAATCCGAAGTGACTGGGTATCTTGAACCTAGGATGGGGTCAGAAATGTGGGCATGAAGGTCCACATCCTCCAATTTTATTTTTTTTGGTACCGGGGATCAAACTTAGGATTCAGCGCTTGCGAGGCGGGCGGCGGCACCACTGAGCTAAATCCCCGGCCCCCTACAATGTTTTAAAAAAGATCGTCATGGGTAAGAGAACCAGGGGGTGGCATTACAGAAGGATAATTTGATTCCCCATCATTGTGGTGCTGGAGATCGAACCCAGGGGCTCATGCAATGCTAAGCAAGCGCTCTACCATCGAACTACACCCGGCAGAAGAGGATTCGACTCCTTAGCGGAAAAAAAAACACAACACCTCACGAGGTGCTGTGACGCAGTGACTGAAACCTCGAAGCAAGAACTCTACCACAGAATAAGCGTCGTCCGACTGGTAACAATTCGGCCGCATTAGGAGGCCCCCAAGCAAAGGAAGTGACGTAGGGAGTCAGTCACACGACGTAAGTGAGAGCGTAGGTCCTGTGGGAGGATTGTTTTGATTGGTTGTTTTCTTGAGATCTGGTCCTATCAGCACTCCGCACCTGCGCTTTTCACTTTTGGTGCGGGTTTGCCCTTAGTAAAGATGGCACAAAGGCTTCCAGCTCCACTTGGGGCATGCGCACTGTCAGAAGTCGGGCTGGAGACAACAGGAAAAAAGGTAGTATCTGTGAGCGTTGATTGGCTGAGGCGAGAAGCGTGCGCTGACTGGCTCAGCCCTTCGCGGGCAGGAGTTTGTGGCGCCAGAGAAAAGTGGATAACACGCAGTAACAGACGGGATTCTGAGGTGTTCAGCAAGCTTATCTGGCTGGAACCGTCTGCCCTCCTTTCCCAAGAGAATTTCGACCAAGATGTGGAATAGTAATGACGGGTCGGGCGGGGGAGGAGGAGGAAAATCTCAGGAGGATTAGGCGAGCCAGGGGTCCGAAGGCCTGTGGCGGCGGGGGCGAGAGCGAAGGTGGTGGCGTTTGCGGGTCTGGGAGGGTGGTGGGAAGATTAGGGAGACGGGGCCCAGTGTTGGGGCGCGTGAAGTCTCAGGAACCGGCGGACTTCTCAAGTGCTCGGAAGGCAGCTCAGATACTAACACTGTTGTTCAAAACAGGTGGCTATGAAAGCTATAGCAGCTCCAGCTATGGAGGAGGCGTCAGCTACACCCAGTCTCCAGGGGGCTTCGGGTCGCCAACAGCTTCTCAGGCTGAAAAGAAATCAGTAGGTTGAAAGACTAGGGTTTGGTTTGGTTTCGCTTTTTACTGGTCTGAAACTCCGCGTTCATCCGCGAGAAAACGTTTGAGGTGAAGGAAGGGTGTTAAGCCTGAACTGGTTTGAAAGCTATCGATTATTTTCCATGCCCCTTAAAATGTATAAGTTCTGTAAATTTTAAAAACGCAATCTTCCCTTAATTCTGTATCCACTGTTTCCTCGGATTTGTTCTGAAATTTCTCATAGCTGTTGAATTAGTCTGGTGGAAAAACTTTGAACTTCTGTTCCTAGTCTATTTTATATTCTCCCTGTATTTTCAAAGTTGTTTTTTGATTAAACGTAGTGAGGCGAAATAATGCAATGGAAGAGTGTGATTTCTCTGACACTTGTTTTAATGTTGTTGTTGTACACATTACTGTCTTGGTTACCATAAACTAAAGGAAGTTGTGAGACTTAATATTAAATACAAAGTGCCTGCTTTGTAGTCACTTTCAATAAACAGTTCTGATACTATCTTTGAAAGAACATGGAGTTTGGAGCCAGAATATACAGGTCCCAGAATTAACATTGCCTTTTTTTACCCCTGTGGTACTAGGTGAAACTCAGGGCGCCACTACCAATGAGCTACATCCTCAGCCCTTTTTTTTTTCTTACTGGGGATCGAACTCAGGACCTTGGTTTGTGAGGCAGGTGCAGTGCCACTGAGCTAAATCCCCGGCCCCTCAGCCCTTTTTAAATTTTGAGATAGGATTTTGCTATGTTGCCCAAGATAGCCTTCAACTTATGATCCTCCTGCCTCAGCCTGCTGAGTAGCTAGGGTTACAGGTGTACATCACCACACCCAGCTTAATTTTGCCTTTTAACTGATTTAGTTAGCAGTTTGAAGCCTGTGGCCCTTCATTCTTCTCTTCTGATGGTACTGATGGTTCTGATGGTTAAGATAACACAGGGTGCTTCTGAAAATTGTTAAATAAGGGAATGTAAGAAATGATCTACAGAAAGTTGTCTAAATGTTTATTCGCTCTTTTAAAGATGAGTTTGTACTTAACAGTTGCTATTGATTTCATCCTATAACTGCAGGGTTAATTTGGCTTCCCTTTAGGTGCCACTCAGATGTGGTGTTAAGACTCATGTGTTTGGTATACAGGGTGATAGGCCTTTCCTTAAAACTCTTAATCCAAGGTCCCGATCCCTGGTACCAAAACAAACAAACAAAAAACTTTTAATCTAGTTGTATGTTGGTAGAGAGGGGGAAAAGTCATCAATAATTCCTAAACATTTGGATATTGCTTATATTTTTCACGAGTTATTTCATATAGTACTGTAATATTGTTTATTCCAGCATACAACAGGAATTAAGGTGTATTTAGGGACTAAGCTTACATAGCTAGTAAGTAGAAGCAGATAGTGCACACATGGCACTGAGCAAATCTAAAATCTCATGAGCAGCTACTTCTCTCTTCTCTCTCTCGTAGTATTCCGCCCCCCCCAAAGACCACAAGGAACTTCAGACTTCTCTCTACTCGCCCTTCCCCTTCCCTCCCCTCCCCTCTTCCCTTCTCTCTCCTATCTCTGTCTCTGTCTCTCTCTCAGCTGTGCTGGGGCTGGCACCCAGGGACCTGTACAATAAGCACTTTCACGCAGCTGTACTCCCAGCCCCTGACACTTCGGTTCTCTAACTTTGTCTTTCCTGAGGTTGTGAAGGAGAAAACAAAAAATACAAATTCTCATCTTTTCTTCCCAAACTTAACTACTTTTCTCTATTCTGAATATTTTTACTTGAGATCCCGAACCTGAGCTGTGTACTAAGACAGCTTTTCAGAGAAGGATAGTTATAAACTGGAGGTTCAAACTCAGATCTTTTTACTATTTATTTATTCAGTATGTGAGTGACAGTCTCACTATGTAGTTTAGGCTGGCCTTGACACCAATCAATCCTCCTGCCTCAGCCTCTCTAATGCTGGGATCACAGGCATGGACTACCACACCTAGCTTTTTTGGGGGGCTGGGTACCAGAAACGCACTCAGGCAGGCATGGTGCCACTGAGCTAAATCCCCAGCCCAGCCCAGCTCAGCTGTTTTTAAATTTAGTATTTTCAGGGGCTGGGGATTTAGCTCAGTGGTTCCGTCGTCACCTGCTTTTAAAGTGCAAGGTCCCGAGTTCGATCCCTGGTACCAAAAAAAAAAATTTAGTGTTTTCCACAGTCATTTAGATAAAATCCTTCTCTAAAATGTTTTCTTCTTGATATAAATTTATTATATTTGGTTGAAATTTCCAATATAGTGAAATTTATACAAATGTTAATTTCATAAGAATACTGTCAAGAGTAGCCTATGGTTCATACTCAGCCATGAATATTAAAATTTTTTTCAAAATTAAACACTTGTACAGGCACACTCTCTGTGAACCTCTTTGGGACAAACCAAGAATTCCTTGTGATTCTTTCCTGGCTCAATAAAAAACAAAAAATATCTGAGTTGAGGTGAATTTGAAAGCATTATTGACACCACAGTTATTACCACATGTAACTTTTCTACCAGAGGAGTAATAATGTTTATTGATTACTCACTGGATGCTAAGACTGGTATCTGCATTTTATATACATTATATGTTTCATTTCAAACTTGAAAGGTGACTATCCTCATTTTTTCAGAAAAGGTGGTGGCACATCAGGGCCAAGTGGCTGGAATTTGAGTGCAGCTCTGAGGGATTGTTTGGCTCCAGACCCCTTGTTCTTGTCTCTGCCATACTAGTTCTTAGTTTATGCTGGAAATCCAGGTAGAATCTCAGTTAGGATAGGTAAAAACAAAGTGCAATGGATTTTAAGAGGTAAATCCTGCAACCTCCGTAAATAACTTCATCTATAGATTACCACAGGGTATGGTGCAGTCCTGGGGGATGCAGAGAGCTTCCTCCACAGGGCCCAACTCTGCTCTGCTTCCTCCCCCTCAGTGTTCTACTCTACCCCTGCACCACTCGTTCTTCCCATTCCAGTATCTCTCTGAGCCTGGTCCCAGCTCTGAGTCTGTCTGGAGTCCAGTGTTTGGGCAGGAATGAGCTCAGCTGTGAGTGTAGCACCAGGAAGGTGAAGGGAGATCAGCTGTGCACCCTCCTTGGGGCACCTCCCTCCTTGGGCCACCTCCTCAGCTTCCCTGCCCTGCCCCCAAGGGTGTGGGTAACTGTGGAGGGTGCACCCAGCTCAGAGCTATGGCCCTCTCTAGACCTTGCTTTCCCCACCACTGACAGGAGTGTTTCCTTCTAACTTCCTGTATCCCTATGTCTTTTATTGTATTTGTTCACTTTATGCATGCATGTGTGCATGTGTGTATGTTGTCAGGATTGAACCCAGTGCCTCATGCATGCTAGGCAGCCTCCGCCCCTGAGCTACATCTCTAGCCTCAAGTGATTGTATTTTTGATACTGCTTTGTAATTCTTTAAATTTGTTTTGGGGCTTTTGCTTTGTTTTGTTATTGTTTGTTTGTTTTGAGGCAGGATCTCACTGTGTAGTTCAGGCTAGCTTCAAACTCACAGTGATCCTCCTGCCTCAGCCTCCTGAGTCCTGGGATTACAGGCATGGACCACTATGCCAACCTCCTTTTATTTTTTATTTATTTTTGTTTTGAGACAGGATCTAACTGTGCCCAGTCTGGTCTTGAACTCTTGGGCTCACATAATCCTCCTGTCTCAACCTCCCAAGTAGCTGGGATTGTAGGCACACCACTGTGCCCTGTAATTCACTTTTTGAAAAAGTTTCATAATTCACTATATTTTAAACAACTATAAAGTAAAATTGAAAGGCATAATTGACCTTTTCACATCTTTATTAAAAGCTGTTACAGATATAAAGAATGAGGAACAATACCTATGAGCAGTTGCTAACATTTGAGTGCTTGCTGTGTGCCAGATAGTGTT